CCTCATGGAGAGTGAGACCCAATTACTATGTTATTTACGTGCACTTTGCTCCTTTCCCACAAGAGGACCCGGGACTGAAGCACCACAGTCATCACTGCAGTGTGTCAGGGTGACAGCAGCTGGGAAGGAGCCCTCACACATGTGCACAGAGTGACCTGAAGCGGTGTGACCTGTGACCAGCAGGGGGCGCTGGGGGACAGCTCTGTGGGCCTCACACTGCAGCTTAGGGAGGACCATTCACTCAGAGGTTGAGCCCTGTGCTGCCTACAGGGGACTCAGCAGCTGTGTCCTCTCAGGCCTAGCAGCGCCCCCTGAGCAGGGACCCTTTTGTGGTCTCAGCAGGTGCTTCCTCCCAGGGCCACCCAAGGGGTGAGCCCACCTCCATGCCCCTCAGTCTGGGGTGTGAGCTGAGCTCCAGCCCCAGGGCCCAGGTAGGGGCTGGGCAGTCCCTGGAGGGGCTCCCATTTGCATGGCAGCCCCTCCTCTGGCAGAGGGTGGGGGAGAAAAGGAGGCCTGGGCAGCCCAGCCCCACTGTGGGCTCAGGGCTGTGAGCACCATGGCCTGGACTCCTCTGCTCCTCGTGCTCCTCTCTCACTGCACAGGTAGGGACAGGCCTGGGACCAGGCTTCTTCCCTTCCTGCTCAGGCTCCTGGGAAACGTCCCCTGGTCCCTGCCCATCACTGACCAGTGTCTGTGTCTGCAGGGTCCCTCTCCCAGCCTGTGCTGACTCAGCCGCCCTCCCTCTCTGCATCTCCGGGAGCCACAGCCAGACTCACCTGCACCCTGAGCAGTGGCTTCAATGTTGGGCGGCTATAACATACGCTGGTACCAGCAGAAACCAGATCACCCTCCCTGGTATCTCCTGAGATATACATCAGACTCAGATAAGAACCAGGGCTCCGGGGTCCCCAGCCGCTTCTCTGGATCCAAAGACACGTCGGCCAATGCGGGGCTCCTGCTCATCTCGGGGCTGCAGCCCGAGGACGAGGCCGACTATTACTGTGCTGTGTGGCATGAGGACCCCAACACTCACACGGCGCTGCAGGGTCACGGGGAAGTGAGACTAAAACTTCTCTGTGTCCCCCCAGCCTGGGCCGTCAAGCTTCCTCCCGGCGACCCGGCCTCACCCAGGGTGACATGTGCTGTCGCCCCTTCAGCCAGCGCCTCTTTGCCTTGTACCCGCGGGTGTGACAACGTCTTCCCATTTTCCTCCACAATGTCCATTTGTTGGTTGCTAAGACCTTGTCCCCCTCATCGTGTCCCCACAGGCACACGTCCGGTCTCGGGGCTCTGCACCCGCCCTTGGGGGTGATGGATACAGAGGGGGGTGTGAGGCCTCACCCAGGCCCAATGATATTGGCGTCAGCCCATGTGTAGAGTGAACATGGGCTTCACCCAGGGTCCAAGTCTGACTCAGAGATGTGGGTGGTCTTGCTACCATGGCAACTCGGTGGCGATTAATCAAAGGAAAGGAGCAAAGGGAAGGCCAGACATAGCAGACAGGGTCACTCAGGCCCTTCACCAGGAGGCTGCCATTGGCCCTCTGCAGGGCACCTCCCACATTCCCTGCAGACAAAGGGGAGTTGGGGGGCTGGGGAGGGGGAGCGGGTTGGGAGGGTGTCTGGACAAAGAGGAGATAAACACCTACATAGGGATAGGGATGTTGGGGGGACATAGCAAAGGTGCCTGTCCGTCAAACCTGGGAACAGAAACCATTGGCCAGAGGGGCAGGGCCAATGCGAGCCCGAGAAAACTGGGGAGCACACCGTCCCCTGGACCAAGGAGCTCTCTCTCTCTCTCTCTCTCTCTCTCTCTCTCTCTCTCTCTCTCTCTCGGCTCTTGGCTCTCTTGTTCCTTTGGCGTTGCCCCTCCCCATCCACGTGGCCCTGCAGACCCACAGGCAGGGAACGGACAGACCACGGCGGGGAGCAGCCTAAGCCGGCCTGATGCTGGGCTGGGCCTGTGGCCAACGTGGATGGGAACTCCGGGCCCTGGCGTAGAGCCGCCCCGCTGAACCATACGTGGGACTTGGTTCTTGGCGGGACGAAGGGGAATGGGAACTTGGGGACTCAGGGGTTTGATTCCACGGGAATAAAACCTTCTGTCACACAGAATTTTCCCACGGGGCACCCCAATCCTCACTCCAGTGGCACCCAAGACACTCCCTGCCACCAGGAACCGGCGGGGGCGAGGAGCTCTCTCCGCCATGGCAGTCTGAGCGCCTGGTGGGTCAGTGGGCCCCGCTGACTCCTCACTCATCTCCCGGGACCAGCACCCAGTGCAGTGCCCTCCCTCTTCCTCTGCTCCCTGCGCCAGGCTGGGGGTCCGGCTCCTTCCCTCCCGAGGCTCAGAGGAAGCAGGTGTCTGGGCTCCAGGGACGCCGAGAGGAAGCAAAGAGTCCTTTCCAGAGGGGGAGGTGACTGTGTGACCTCCTTGTGCGCCAGGGTCGCCGCGGCGGCTTCCCCGCCCGAGGCAGGTCCTGGAAGAGCCACCTCTCTTCTTCATCTTTTTGTTATTTTTTATCCTCACTCAAGGAAATTTATTCCATTGATCGTTAGAGAGAGTGGGAGGGAGAGGGAGAGGGAGAGAGAAACACTGATGGGAGAGAGACACATTGACTGGTTGCCCCCCACATGACCCGACAAGAGCCGGGAGCCTGCAACCAAGGTACGTACGTGCCCCTGACCGGAATCGAACCCGGGACCCTTCAGTCTGCAGGCCGACGCTCCATCCACGGAGCCAAGCCAGCCAGGGCCTTCTTCATCTTAGGGTGGCCTAAGGGTCGGGCCAAGGTGCCGATGAAGCCGGGACGTGTAAAGTTCAGGAACATTCCGATGATGAAGTTCCAGCCCACAGAGCTGTGACAGGACCGTGAAGGTGCAGGAAGTTGTAGGAACCCAACTCCGAGGACACTAGGCCGGGCCTGGGGTCCCCTCCTCCCCTTCTCTTTGCACAGGTGGGGGCTGAGGATCCCGCAGATGGTCGCCGAGCACCTCCTCTGTCCCCTGTTCCTCTCCCCGGCACAGGCCAGCCTCGCGCCATCTTCCCTTCCCGCTTAGCGAGACTCAGCGCCTGCAGGGGGCTGCACGGTCCCTCTCGGTGCTCTGACCGGAGCTGGGCTGGGAAGCCGTCTGTGCCCCCCGCCCCCAAATACTGGACTCCCCGGAGTTTCTAGGTGCCGTGCACGTGGGTCCTGTGCAAACGGTTCCCTTCATGTAATGCAGCGGTTCTCAACCTGTGGGTCGCAACCCCTTTGAGCTCTGCCTGTTTCCCATCTAGTTAGTCAGAGGGGCCCTCCAAGACCAGAGAAGCCAGAAACTCAGGCTGTCTCTCTGCCACTGGCCAGCTGCACGGCCTTTGGCAGCTCCCAGCTTCTCTCTAGGCCAGCGGTTCTTAACCTGTGGGTCGCAGCCCCTTTGAGCATAGGTTCTCAATCTGTGGGTCGCGACCCCCTTGGGCAGGGGGTTCTCCAGTAAACAGGTGAAGGGGGAGGACTTGGAGTGGCTTCAAGGAAGGAGTGGTTCCCGCCGGGACCAGCAGGGGGCGCTGTGAGACCGTCTCTGGGGTTTGCCTGGACCTGGTCTCTGCCAGAGGCCCCAGGGCTGGCTCTGGGGTTCCTGTGAGGCCTGCGTCCTCTCTGGGAGTGTGGGCTCCCCTGCCCGTGTCTGTGGGCGCCTCCAGCAGCTGCTTCCTCCCAGCCCCACCCACGGGCAACCAGTGCATGGGGCTGGCCTCCCTGCACCAGGCCCAGACCCTGTCAGCGCCCCTGGGGGTGGGGGGGGGGCAGGGACACATTTGCATGAGCAGCCCCTTCTCTGTGGCCAGGGCAGGATAAGAGGTCTGGGCAGTGCAGCCCCAGCTCCGTGTCCTGGGAACGGGCTGCGCTCACCATGGCCTGGACCCCTGTGCTCCTCGTGCTCCTCGCTCACTGCACAGGTAGCCACAGGCCTTGGGGACCCGGAGCACCTGCCCCCCGGCCCTTCTTCTCACCCCCATGTGTCTGTGTCCACAGGGTCCCTCTCCCAGCTTGTGCTGACTCAGCCGCCCTCCCTCTCTGCATCTCTGGGAGCCACAGCCAGACTCACCTGCACCCTGAGCAGTGGCTTCAATGTTGGCGGCTATGGCATAAGCTGGATCCAGCAGAAGCCCGGGAGCCCTCCCCGGTACCTGCTGTACTACCACACAGACTCCCATAAGGACCAGGGCTCCGGGGTCCCCAGCCGCTTCTCTGGATCCAAAGACGCCTCGGCCAATGCGGGGCTCCTGACCATCTCGGGGCTACAGCCTGAGGACGAGGCTGACTATTACTGCGTTACAGATCATGCCAGTGGGAGCAGCTTTCGTTACACACAGTGTCTCAGATGACGAGGAAGTGAGACCAAAACCCCTGGGCCCCGAGGTGCTGGCTCTGAGCCTCCCTTCAGCGAGGAGCGTCTGTGGGGGCCTCTGTCAGGGGGGCTCCTCTGCAGGGACCTGTGTCCCCGGGAGGAGGGAGGTCACACACGATGTGGCAGCAGCACAGGCGTCCCAGGGGCACACGCGGATGGTCATGGAGCCCAGCCCACCCCCCGTGTCGGGGGAAATTCTAACAAGACTGAAATCTGGGGGAGGGGATTGGGGTTCAGCTTATCTTATTAGATAAATAAAGCCACACCCCAGAATGCTCTTCGTCCTTTATGGCGACCTAAGATGCCACGGAAATAAGCAATAACATCTCATTATCCTGAGGACTAACACCCACTGAGAGCTGACTATGTGCCCACTGTACGTGAGCGTTTAATCCTCACCACAGCCATCCTTCATGTTGTCATGAGCACATCGATAGCTGAGGAAACTGAGTGAAGATATTTAGGAAAATAACTTAAAAAAATATTTGTATTGATTTCAGAGAGAAGAGGAAAGGAGAGATAGAAACACCATTGAAGAGAGATAATCATTGATCAGCTGCCCCCTGAATGCCCCACACTGGGGATTGAGGATGCAAGATGGGCATGTGCCCTGACCGGGAATCCAACTGTGACCTCCTGGTTCATAGGTCGACGCTCAACCACTGAGCCATACAGGCTGGACTGAGTGAATATTTTTATAAGTACCGCGCGCTAACCGATTGCGCCACTGGAGCTCCATTATTTTTAAATAAAAATCCCCTTCTTTACTATTGTGAGTCTTGTTTGCTCCTCACCCAGAGACTTCACTCCTGACCCCTCTGGTCCCCGATGTGTGGGGACATGGTTCCCGACAGCAGTTCTCTGACACCAGCTGATGTCCCACAGCAGCACTCAGTCCTCACACCATCTGCCCAGAGACGGTGTCAGACCCACAGTTAAAGGGCCCGTCCCCCTGACTGCCCGCAGGTCAGGTGCCGCTCACAGGTGGGAGGTCCCAGGTTTCCCACAACTTCTTGGCTATAAATCAAAGTTTCCCAGGAAAACTCCCGTGATTGCGATTACGTTGCTGAATTAATTTGCTAACTGACCTGAGCCCTTTCCCCTTCAAGCGAATGGGGGGCAAGTGTGAGGTTTCCAAGCTGCTAATCCTCCCTGGTCTCCCCAGTGGCCCGTCCTCACCCAGGAGCCCACCCAGCGTCCCCTCATCAGCAAAGGCCGCCCGTCCCCCAGGGAGTGACAAGGGTTCAGGAGCCTGTGCCGGGGTCAGGGGCCGAGACCAGCGTATGTTTCCTATCAGCTCACATCCTGTGTCTGCACCTGCACATGGTCACCCAGACAGCCATGCTCCCCACAGATTAATGTCATGTGTGTGAACCCTGTGTCACCACTGACCCCTCATGTCTGATATGTTAGTGTCCACCCTGGTCATGGACACAACCTTCTCCTTCTCTGATCAAACCCTCAGACTCTCAGAGACACCCTCCCTCCTCCTCTTCCCTCCTCTGCTGCTGCCTCCCTCTCCTCCTCCTCTCCCTTGGGCTCCTCAGGTCCTAGGTCAGGGTTCATCCTCACGTGAGGGTTTCAGGGAAAAGTGACAAGTTCCTGCTGCAGTTCCGTCCCCCAGGCCTCTGTCTCTAGGGAGGGTGAGAAGCTCACTGTGCATTAGCTTTGCAACAGCCTCATGGAGAGTGAGACCCAATTATTATGTTATTTACGTGCACTTTGCTCCATTCCCACAAGAGGACCCGGGACTGAAACACCACAGTCATCACTGCAGTGTGTCAGGGTGACAGCAGCTGGGAAGGAGCCCTCACATGTGCACAGAGAGTGACCTGAAGCTGTGTGACCTGTGACCAGCAGGGGGCGCTGGGGGACCGCTCTGTGGGCCTCACATTGCAGCTTAGGGAGGACCATTCACTCAGAGGCTGAGCCCTGTGGCACCTGCAGGGGACTCAGCAGCTGTGTCCTGTCAGGCCTGGCAGCGCCCCCTGAGCAGGTCCCTGTGTGTGGTCTCAGCAGGTGCTTCCTCCCAGGGCCCCCCAAGGGTGAGCCCACCTCCATGCCCCTCAGTCAGGGGTGTGAGCTGAGCTCCAGCCCCAGGGCTCAGGGAGGGGCTGGGCAGTCCCTGGAGGGACCCCCATTTGCATGGCAGCCCCTCCTCTGGTAGAGGGTGCAGGAGAAAAGGAGGCCTGGGCAGCCCAGCCCCACTGTGGGCTCAGGGCTGTGAGCACCATGGCCTGGACTCCTCTGCTCCTCGCGCTCCTCTCTCACTGCACAGGTAGGGACAGGCCTGGGACCAGGCTTCTTCCCTTCCTGCTCAGGGTCCTAGGAAACGTCCCCTGGTCCCTGCCCATCACTGACAAGTGTCTGTGTCTGCAGGGTCCCTCTCCCAGCCTGTGCTGACTCAGCCGCCCTCCCTCTCTGCATCTCCGGGAGCCACAGCCAGACTCACCTGCACCCTGAGCAGTGACGTCAGTGTTGGTGGTAAAACCATACACTGGCACCAGCAGAAGCCCGGGAGCCCTCCCCGGTTTCTCCTGTACTACCACACAGGTACAAATTTTGGCTCCGGGGTCCCCAGCCGCTTCTCTGGATCCAAAGAGGCCTCGGCCAATGCGGGGCTCCTGACCATCTCGGGGCTGCAGCCTGAGGACGAGGCCGACTATTACTGTTCGACCTGGCACAATAATGCTCCCACAGTGACACACACAGATGGGGAAGTGGGACAAAAACCCTCGGACACGTACTCTACAGGCTTCTACAGATAAAGAGGCCATTAATAATAGTACCGATAATCAGGAGAGACCATAGGTCCTGGGCATTCTGGATGAAAATGGTGCCAAACTAGATTTCTGTTCAGACTCTTCTGCGGTGCCGTACAGAACCCACACGCACAGGTATTCACCCAAATCACTTAACTGTGTTCACACAAGAACATCCACGTAACGTTTATAGCTTTCTTTATTTGTTTGTTAAAACTTTAAACACAACAGACATGTCCTCTGTCCTGTGAAGGAATAAACCAACAGTGCGCATCTCTACCATCGAAAAGTGACTCGGCGATTAATGGGGGAACATGAGACTCCTGTTTCTGAGTGACAGGAGCCCATCTGCAAAGGCTGGAACTGAGGGAGGTGGGAGGGGAGCAGGGGCCCTGAGCTCCTGCTCCTGCCTGGGGCTGCCTGTCCCCTGCATCCCCAGGAGGTGCCCTGCTCCCCCTTCCTCTTTCCTGCGCCCTCCTCCTCCCTCTTGCAGGCTCCATGAGGGGCCCTGGGCTGAAGCCCCTCACCCTACGCTCTCATTTTCTCAGCTGGAGCCCTGGGTGGGTCCAAGGAGGGGCTTACACGCCTCCCTAAGGGAGAGCTGTGCATAGAGGGGGGGCGTATAAGAAGGTGAGGGCTCCGGCCTGGCTGGGGGGCTCAGGAATCAGGGTCGGGGGCCTGTCCACCATGGATGGGGCTCCCCTCCTCCCCGCCCTCCTGGCTCTCGGTAGAGGTGGTGCCTGAGGGGGGCCTGGGGGGGCTCCTGTTTGTCACCGGGAGCAGGACCTCTCCCCCGTCCCTGGGCCAGGGGTCTGTGCGGATCTCCGTGTTGTCCTTTTTTCCGGGTCCTGGGCAGAGGCTGTGCTGACGCAGCCCCGTG